GTTCTCCGGGTAGAAGTGTCGCTTGAGTTCCCTCTTGAACTCTTCCCAAGTATCGATTCGGCAAATGCCTTTCTCGATATCGGCGTGCTTTCTACGCCACCACAACATAGCCGTATCGGAAAGATAAAGGGAAGAAGTTCTTACCTTAGTCGTCTCGTCGACTAGACCGATACCCTCGAAGTATTGCTCCATCCTCCATAGGAAGTTCTCAACTTCCTTGGCGTCCCTTACGCCGTTGAATCCCGTTGGCTTCGGGCAGTCCACCCTTGGACTCGAAGTAGCGCCAACGCTACCGTTAGCGGCGTCCTTTTTGCACAAGGCCAAGTCGTCGCGCATCCCCTCGATGCTCTCTTGGAGGGATTGGATGATGGCCTCCAATCGATCCAACCGTTCCTCCCGCAACGCTTCATTGTCTCTAGACAAATCGAGTTGCTCGGCGACGTGATTCTCCAACACTCCCGTATCGTGCTCGAGCTTCTCGAATCGTTCGCTAAGCTCTGCTATGGCGATGTTATTCTCGAGCCTCTCGAGTCTTTCGCCATGATCCGTTAGCACGGCCTCATTAACGGTACTCTCCCCACGAGCCTTGTTGTGGTCCCTCTTCTTCTTGTTGTTTACGTGGGCCTCCCTGCCACGTCCCTCGGTTACGTACGAAATATCTTTAACGTTCGCCATCGTCGAGAATTCGATCAACACAAAGCCCTTAGCCGGGCTCTGATACCACTTGTCACGGACTTGTTCCCTTAACAAAGAACCGTGCGGCCTTAGCTCCTTCTCGCCCCTCGCGATAGCTAAGTCAGCCTCTCCCGAATGTGTTGCGAATACTTAAGTGATGGAAACGAAGAAGGAAATTAAGAAGATACGAGAGTTGGTAGGAAAGGTACTTTATTACTTGAGTACTTGTTGGATTTATTGTTGGATTTGTTGGATGATTACAAATGAGGACCCTACCTCTATTTATACAAGACCACCTCCTCAATGGAGGGTGGAGATCGATATGATCTAACGGTTGGGAGTGGAACACTCCAAAGAATCCCTTAAATGTCTCTACCTACCACCACACCTCTACCTACCAAAGAATCCCTACTTACCACTATACAATTGGGCCAAAACTAGCGGGCCGTGACAGGCCGGTCAAATAGACGGCGGCGCGCGTGTGGGCACGATTCGAAACACATAACATATAGGTCTTTCTCCCAAACAAAGTTGAATGCCCAAAGGGCATGGCCCTTTGTCCTAACATTTAGATAGATATACAGCTCAGTACTTCTCTACTTTTCCAATATGGGATAGCTCAAAATCCAACTTTCCTTATATTTTGGACTAGTAATTTTTCATTCACCACAAAATTGGTTTTATATTATTCTAATCCAAAATTGATTTATATAATCAATTAGACTATACAATAACATTGATAAAAAATTGTTAATGACTCAATTTTTAACCAATTTTCCCAACAAATTTTGCCACATTACTTTCATGCCGCCACAAACCAATAACACATGTAACACCAATTCTACATCATATGCACATCGTAGAATTATCAATTTTGCTTCGGAATAGTACAACATTAGTCAGTTAAATGTTGGAGCAAAATCGCCATAGAAATATTTTGACCTTTGGAGGAATGGTGAGTTTCCCAATTATTTGCGAGTCCACCTTAGTTTCGCCACTACGTGTCTACGTCCATCCACATTGGTCGACGGATTCCTTGGATTTATTGAGGACATATAGGGTGCATTTGTTGGGATATGAGTCCCAAGAGCCATTGAAAACTCAATTAAGATTTGATTTAAGCCGATTGTAATTTTATTAGCATGTATAGATAAGACTGGTTTAAAGTGGAATTAAATCTAATCTATTTATTAACGTTTTAGGATTAAAAACTATCCAAGACTCTAGTCTTGATAAAATCTTGAGCTTGAGTCTTTTGATTACTAACAGAGCAATCATCTTCCACCGTTATATAACAAGAACTCGAGCACCACACATTTTGCTCACAAAATCTCTAATCTTCCACCATGTAATTTATAATTTTTGCAATAGAAGCTTGAAGAAAACGACGAGGGCTATGTGAAACCTGGGGCGGCCAAAAGATATTTTAATGGATTTTGTTTTATGATAACATGGTTTTGTGTTTCGTGGTGTTTGCTTGAATTTTTTGTTGGCGGCCGTTATATGCAAGCTCATTTTTTTATTAGTTCAAAACCACATAAAGGAGTTTATTAGTTCATGCCCGCAAATTAATCTAATTTTATTACATCAAGACCAAAGATGACAAATATACCCTTATCCACAAATAATACTCAAATACAAATAAATCTTATTTTTAATTTGTTCAAGACCAAAAATCAAAAAAAAAAAAAAAAAAACAAAAAAAAGAAATATCACGACTGCCAACCAGACTTTCACCGCACCGGCGATGACCAGCGACCCACCCACTACACCATTACCACCACCAACAAGTAAGTCCATTTTACTAAACTTTTGTTTGTAAATTCGAAAACATTAATCGAGCATCAATGTCCTTTTTACTAAATTTTTATTTGTAAATTCGAAAATATTAATCGAACATCGATTCTTGATAAATATGTATAAATGAACATTAATTTATGCTTATTTATTGTTGGGTTGCAATGATTTGGCCGATTTTGGAAAAAAAATTGAGATTGAAATTGGTTTTTTTATTTTTTTCGTTGGTTTCCGAAATCGGTTTATCCAGACCGATTTTGTACACGAAAATCGGCGTCATAATACCGATTTTTGTTAACCAAATCGGCGACACAACGTCGACTTTACAAGTCAAAATCGGCGTTCTAATGTCGATTATTGAGTACAAAATCGGTTTTCGAATACCGATATTTTTTGATTTTTTTTAAATAATACATTATATATTTGGTTATTTGATATTTTTTAAATATTTGGAACGAAAATATTTATCACCATTCGGTGGCGTCTACCACGTCTTTAACCCAATCGAGTAGAGCTTTCCGTATCTCAAATATTTATTCGTTAGATAATTCATTTGAATAATCCTCCATCAATCCCCTAGGTTGATGCACGAAAGTATGAGAAAACGGTCTTAAAAAAACACAGATAATAAAATCGGTATTTAAAAACCGATTTTTGTAGTACAAGTCGGCATGACAATACCGATAATACAAAAACAAATCGGTGTTGTCATGCCGATTTTTATTACAAAAATCGGTGTATAAGTACCGATTTTTATTAAAATAATCGGAATGTGGTTACCGACTTTAGTAACAAAAATCGGTATTTGCAGACCAATTTTTGCTATCGTCGAATTTTTTTCCCAACAAAAAAAAACGACCCAAAAGAAAAAATAAAGGGTTAAAACATACTTCATTGTGTTCTCCACCCTCGTAAACCACCATATCATTATTTTCTGGTTCCATCGTGAATATTTGGTATGTATTTGATAATTTTGGTGTGTAGGATTTCTTTGTGGGTTTGTGAAGAAGAAGGAGAAGAAGAAGGTGAGTTTAAGTCGTGAAATAAGGAAGAGGAGTTTCTAAATTTATGTATTTTATTTGGTCTTGCACAAAGGAAATGATTTCTTTTTATTTTTTAATATTTTGTGTTTTTTATTTGATTTTAAATTTCATTAAGGGTAAATTAGTATTTTTATGTTGAAGGTCTTGAATTAATAAAAAAATGGGCTTGTATATAACCGCCGTTTTTTTTTGTTATAGTATATCAATTGAATGTGTACGACAACTTTTTTTGATTGTGCACAATTTTTATTACATTGTAATTTTATATTTTTTGGACAAAATTGTAGGCATAGAATGAAATAAGGATTAAATAAAAAAAATAGCGATTATAAGGGGGTCTAATCTAACTTCTAAGGGGTTATTTTAGCATCCCCACGTGCAAAACAAAACAGGTGACTTTTGTCCATCCGAAGTAAGAGCAACTCCAATGGGAGATATCAAAATGGAGCATTAAATATTCATTTGATACTTGATATAATACTTTGATACTTCTTGAAAAAAAATTCACTCCAACCACAAATATCAAATAGACTATCAAATTTTAAGTATATGAATAATTATATTTTTAAATGCCACGTGTCAAATAGTGATAGGTTAATTGGGTGGTTATATTTTGTATACCTCATTTTCGAGGGAGTATTTTTGCACCTTGGGGTAGTTGAGGATCAAAATAATTCTCCCTTTAATGCCTCCATTGGAGAAGGATTTTTTATGTTTAAAGCATCAAAGTGGTAGTTTTTTAGTTTGATACTTCATTTAGTGCCTCCACTAGAGTTGCTCTAAGAGCAACTCCAATGGAGGAATTAAATGGGGAATTAAATGGAATAACTTCTATTTTGATGCTCCAAAACATAAATTTTCATCTCCAATGGGGGAATTAAATTGGTAGTTATTTTGATATTCAACTTCCCGAGATGCAAAAATGCCTCTGGAAAAAGAGGTATCAAAACATTAACTACCCAACAAACCAATTAAAAATTGACACGTGTCAATATTAAATATATTTATTCTTATATTTAAAATTAGATGATTCATCTAATGCTTGCGGTTGGAGTAAATGAGTATCAAAATAATAAAACGAGTATCAAATTAATATTTGATGATCGATTTTGATACTTTACCATTGGAGTTGCTCTAACACCAAAATTAAACGGTGAACCAAAAATGATTTTATTGCAAAAAAAGTATAAGTTCTAAAATTGATTTTTTTTCTAAAACATAGGGGCCAAAAATATAATTATCACATAATATTTACCAATTATCTTTTATATAACAAAATGCACATCTCCTTACTTCCAAACATACCCTTAAAACAGCTGGGACATATACACCGATGGTTTGTACCACCTCCACCCGCCGCTTGCTCTTAATAATAACCAACAACAACTTTACGTCATCTGAAATGACTTTATTGCCCTTAAAATTAGAGGCCCATTTTCGCAACTTTCCTCCAAATTTTATTTTTACATATTTCTCACAGATTGTATTTCTCACTACTCTTCTTCAATTGCATTTTGCATTTTGTATTTTGTTCTTGAGAGAGAAATAGAGAAACAAACGCCTTTCTCTCTCTAAAAAACACAACAATCAACGTATACAGAATTACACACACATCGCACCGGAAGAAATACAGAACCATGACTTCCGACAACCACACCGAAAGAAACGCCATTTTCCGCAAGCTCAAACAAAAGCCGGAGAATAAGGTCATTTTCGTTTTTTTTATTTTTTTCTGAAAAAGGGGTCTTTTTTGTGGGGGTAAAATTTTGGATTTTGATGAGCAATGCTGAGATCTGATTCAGATCTGAACAATTATTCTTTCTGTTTTTGTAATTTTTTGTTTGGGCGAACCCTGAATTTGTAATTGATGTTTGGGATTTCAGATGTGTTTCGATTGCAATGCTAAGAATCCAAATTGGGCATCGATTACCTATGGGATCTTCCTTTGTATTGATTGTTCGGGGGTTCATCGAAGCCTCGGCGTCCATGTCAGCTTCGTCAGGTATTTCCCTTTCTCCGATTTAGTATTTATTGGTTTTGGTTTTCCGGTTAGAGCATCCTGAGGATTTGCTGATTGGTTGTGGTTTTCTTATTCTTTCGGTGTGGTTTGCTGATTAGGTAATGTATTGTGAAATTTTGCGTCTGGCTTCTATATCTAGAAAAAAAAACTTGTTTGTCCAGTTTGATTTGGTTTATGTGGAGATATGAAATGTTGTATTGATAGTATAGTGCAGACTGGAGTATATGTCAATATTGTCAATATGGGCAGTTCTTTGTATTTCTGATTGCAGTGAGTTGACGTTTTACCTCAATATTTTATCCTACTTGTGTGTATGAAAATTGCTCTGCGTGTTAGTTAGTAATGCCTTCCTGTCCGAGTATTTGTGAAAACATTCACCTATAAATTTGAGGATTATTCTTTATACACCAAATTTCCTTTGTATTTCTGTAGGTTCTGCTCTTTTCTTGTTTGAAAACTTTGGTAGTTGCAATGTGAACTTCAATTTAATATGCTCGAATGATATCTAGATCTATTACGTTGATGAACTTTGTGAATACCATTTAGAAAGATGTACCAGTGACCAAAAACTTTTGATCATGAATTTGTACGCCATGTCTGGGATGTGATTTTTCTAAGCAAAGCCCTACCCCGATCAATGAACATTTTTTATGTTCATTGTATTTTATTATTAAATTATTTTTTGATATTCTTTGAGATGGGGTATGATGCAAGAATGTTATGCATTCATCGTCCTGCTGATCTTTGAAAACTTTGTAAATCAACTTATCAAGAGCTCTCCTTTTTAGAGCATTCTTTGGTATACCCTATCGAAACGACAATGTACTGCTTCGACAGTGCATTACGATAATAATTGCATATACGTGTCGGGTGTAGAAAAATTTCCTCCTTCATTTGCCACTTTTATGCACATCTCTTTACTTTTTATTTACTGCAACATCACAAGAAAATGAGAATTTCACTCCTCTTAATGTAACAAACGGATGGTATATTTGAGAGTTTTTATATTCATCAATTTAGAAATTAACTCTGTAGAACTAAATCTTTGTTTATCAGGGCTAGTGGTTAATAGGCGTCAATCACTTGTAAATTCTCTCTCTTTTTTTTACTGTTCTTTTACTCATTCTTTCAGTCACTTATAAATTCTCTTCTTTTTTTTACTGTTCTTTTACTCATTCTTTCAAAACTAGAAAATGTTGGAATATGGATAATCTAAAAAATAAGCCTAACTGACATTAAGTAATTAACATTTTGGCTAGAAGCTAGTCACATTTGAAAGAGAAGTTGTACTTCTGTTTGAGGTTAGACTGGCTAAAAATCTGTTACATTTGGATCTCGGAGTTAACATTCTTGAAGATTTATTTGGTTGAGTTAACTCCAGAAAGGTTTTTGCCTCTGCTTGCAGATTTTAGATGGCACGTATGTGCAGTCTGAAATGACCGACATATACCGATATATTTGCTACCAATATAGCATAGGATAAGTATAAATCAGATTTACATAACAATAAGGGGGCAGTATAAGACACTAAAACTTTTGTTAAGCAAAAAGCAATACAAGAACACTGATGCCCTATTAAAAGAAAAAAGGCAATACCTGCAATCCGGGTGTAGGTTCATATATGGCTAGTGAATAATGAAGACTATCTCAAGCTTGTGTGGATTGTCAATTATCTTCAGACTAGCTTTCTTTATTTGAAAGGCATTGACAATTTCCTTATGGCCTTAATAATGTATGCATCATAGTAGGAATGAACAAATAAATCATGCATATAATGAAATCAAAGACTCAAAAACATGAACACAAGACACATAGTCGGTGGTTATAATGTATAGCTATAAATATGTGTAGATAAAGAAATAGAGAAGTGCTGAAACAATGGATAATATGGCAAAGAAGTAAGAAACATTATGTGATCTCAGCAGTATGGGATTGTGTGCTGTGAATTACAGTATACCCTGTACCTGAGCAGGACACATTGGGTTGGAGAAAATGAGGGAAAAACCATTTACTGATTTTGGTCCATGACTTGACTATATGGTCAAGGCACCTGATCACGTTCTTTTATCGACTAAGAGTATTCATAACTTGTAGGTCTACGAATATGGATTCATGGACTCCTGATCAATTGAAAATGATGACCTTTGGTGGAAATAACCGTGCTCAAGTTTTCTTTAAACAACATGGATGGACTGATGGAGGCAAGATTGAGGCCAAATACACCTCAAGAGCTGCTGAGTTATACAGGCAATTACTCTCCAAAGAAGTTGCTAAAAGCAATCCAGAAGACGTAGGCCTGCCTTCATCACCTGTTGCTGCCCTGTCATCAAAACCTTGTAATGAATTTTCTGATTTTAACATCATTGAAGAACCAAAAGTAGCTTCCTCGAATGATGCTCCAAATGGAAGTTTTGTGAAAACTGTAACCCCTGAGGTTTCTGCTTCACCAAGAGCCTCTCACACAACTGCGACGATGACTATGAAGAAGTCTCTAGGTGCCAAAAAAACTGGCAAGACAGGTGGGCTAGGTGCTAGAAAGCTTACTACCAAGGTAATTCTCATCTTCCTTACAGTGAATATCTTATGTAGTATATCTGGAACTAATATTATGTGTTCATACTTATCCGTTATTGACGTGAATTTTTCAATCTAATGAATATTGAAATGTTTTCTGTGTTGTAGCCAAGTGAAAGCCTTTATGACCAGAAGCCTGAAGAACCACCTGTACAGGTTTCTTCTGCTAACTCTTCAAGCAGTAGCACCCCAGTAGTGAGTTCATCATATAAATCCCGATTTGAGTATACAGACAATGGACAACCTACTGAGATGAGTGCTGAAGGTGCTCGTCTTAGCCATGTTTCACCTCCTAAGTCTTCCAACTTTTTTGCTGAATATGGCATGGAAAGTGGCTTCCCAAAGAAAAGCAGCTCCAACTCATCAAAAGTGCAAGTAAGAGAAATTGCTTGTTTACAAACTTACCGTTGTAGGTAGAAAACTTATTAATGTTCTCTGTGTGCTGGAGAAAAGTTTTTTAATGTCTGTTATATTCACTTTGGGCAAATTCTCAATCTAGTTCTTGGGACGATAACATGGTAATTTTGATTGAAATACTTCATTGTCCAATCTACTTTCTTTCCTCATGATAGCTTAAGCAATCATTGACTCTGGTTGTTAACTGGAAATGATTTCCCTTTTCATTTTAATTTTCATATTTTGTTCTTCTGTTCGTTTTTTCTTTACTTCTTTTCTTGCTGTGATCTTTTACTGATGATTCGAGGTTGTTTATACCTGAAGTTATCAAGTATAATTCATTTTGTATGTATTACTATCATCATCAGGTTGAAGAAAACGATGAAGCGAGAAAGAAGTTTTCTAATGCAAAATCTATATCATCAGCTCAGTTTTTTGGTGTTCAGAACAAATCTAGTGACTTGGAGGCATCAGTTTCATTGCAGAAGTTCTCGGTATGTCATATATGCCTTGGTTTCTTTTGTGGAGGAGGCATTTCATTGTATATATATATTGATACACACCTCAAAGTCGTAAACTCGTGCGTTAATTTGTGCTTATGTGTCCCTTCCTTTTCTTTTTTCTGTTTTGTTTGTGTTGTAGGGGTCATCGTCAATTTCGAGTGCCGATTTCTTTGGTAACGATTCGAGTTCTGCTATTGACCTTTCAGCAAGTGAACTCATTAATAAGCTGTCTTTCCAGGTAACACTGAGCAACATCGTTCTCTTAGTTTTCCAAGATATTAATTTAAAATTATTTAGGAAATATAAAAATATGTTTTATTTGGTTATTATTATCAGGCACAGCAAGATATCTCCTCTCTGAAGAGCATGGCAGGAGAAACTGGGAAGAAGTTAAGCTCCATGGCATCCTCTTTATTAACAGATCTTCAGGACAGAATTCTCTGATGATATATGATAGAGACAATATAATTGTATTTTTTTTTCTTACATTAAAACAAAGGTTTGTTGCAAATTATTACCTGCCCATATATTTTATGTAGTGTATTATGTAGAGAAGAGCCTTCTTTCTTAAACTGAGTTATAATATTTGGAACTCCAGAGTTTTAAGATATTTTTGTCCCTTGTTTTATTTCCTAGTTGGTTTTGATGATGCTAATGGTTATGTTTATAGTAAGAAACAAGCTTTTGGCTTCTAAAACTTCTAATCAGCTTACTGCGTTTACTCGAGGAAAAACAATAGTCGATAGCCATAATCTTTTAAATTTGGTTTTGTTTGTTGGTACATTTACCTTGTTCGATCAAAGTACACGGTTCATGGTGACTATGGCTCTGATTGGTTCAAGGAAAATAATGAGTAAAAAGGTGAAATTATTAGATAAATTGATTTTCATGTTTGGTTGCAAGATAAAGTATTAGGTAATGTAATTAAGAGGAAAAGTGGGAAAAAAATTACACTAAAACTAGGAAAATGCATTTTCCTAAAAAAATAAAGTGAGAAAAATGCCATGTAATTCTCTTCTTTCTCTCTCCCTTTTTTCTTCTTCTTTCTCTCTCTCTCTCTCTCTCAGTCCACTCTCTCCTCTCTATCCTCTTCTCTCTCGTCTCTCCCTCTTTTTTTCCTCTCTCCTCTTCCTCTTCTCTCTCACACACATCATAACTATAAATTATTAAATTAGATTCATATTCACATGTTTTTTTTTTCTTTTTTTCTGACAGAACAGTTTTTTTTTTTTTTTGATAGAAAATAAAATTACTCCATTTAATATTTCATTCTTATTTTCACCTTTTTTTTTCTAGAAACCAAATAAAAGTAAGAAAAATAATTTTCCACAAAGCCATTTTAATCACCATTTTACTTATGAACCAAAAACAAGTAGATTTCAAAAGTCCTTGATTTCCTTTTCCTTTACATTTTCATTTTCCTTGTTTTGAAATTCATGAACCAATCAGAACCTATATTTCATCTAACTGGAAAAATTAAAATTCATCAATCAAGAAAAATATATTCTTAACAACTTTTTTGTTTGGAAAGACATTCAAAACCAGTTTCATTTTTCCAAAGGTGCTTTTTTTTAGGAGTTTAAATGATTTAAAAAATAAGTAATGTTTAACATTTGTTTGTATTTTGAGTTGTAAAATTTAGCAGAATCATTCATCCGTTAGAAAATTTACACATTTACTAGAAGGAGCATAATCTGATCGCAGATGCAGTAGCAAAAGAAGCCTTCAATCGCAGCGTTTGAAAGGAATATCTTTTGCTTACTGAGGTTCCTCGTCATGTTCAAAAGCAGCTATTTCTTGGTCGGATTGGTATACCACAATTCCAAACAAGTTTGGAAGTTCGCTAATATTTTGTATAGCTTGTTAGCTGCTAGATATCGATTTTTATTAATTAGAAGATGGTTGGAAATCGAAATTGCTTTCTTTTGGAGGGAAAATTACTTTGACTAAATCGGTTTTGGCAAGTGTTCCAATATACATGCTCTCATGTTCGTATGTTCCAAAATCGGTTTTACATCGGATTGAACAAATCATGGCCCTTTTCGTATGGAATTCTCGTGGAGCTACACAGTTTCATCGGGCCAAGTGGGGCAACAATGTACATATTCGGTGGAAGAAGACGAATTGGGCATTCAGAGTTTGGCCCAACGCCAAAGTTGCATATACGGGAACTTATGTATGTGGTTAGTTCATAAGGGTGGAACTCTTTGGGTGAAATTTGCGAAGCATAAATATTTTAGAGATGACGAGATGATTCATAGACACTTCACGTCGGCTATATGGAAGTCTATTAGTTTTCATGGGGCTTTGATTGGGAATATCTCTCGATTGATTATCGGGAATGGGAAGATTAAATTTTGGAATGATAACTGGCTTGGGGAGCATCTCGCTTGTCATCTTTAAATCATGATCGCGCAGTTCGAGAAGGATTTGATCAATTTGATGTATACATGCAATCTATCGTCCAACGACTGCACTATTCATCAGGACAAAGAGGATGAGGTTGTTTGCACCCTCTCAAACTCTGAAGAGTTCTTTGATGAGGTTTATTGGGACCTTTTCAATGTTAAAGGAAGGCATCGTTGGTGGACTCTTCGATGATTATTCAGCGGATAATGCATCAGCTGGGGCTTGGAGGTGCTCATGTTGAAACCGAAGAAGAAAAACAAGCCTATAATTCAATATAATATCTTGCAAAGGTTGAGCCTTCAATTGCTCAAATTAATATGCCGACTCGTAGGTGGTTCAGGTGGATATCCCTCCTACAGGCTGGTACAAACTTAACGTCGATGGGTCCGCTAAGGATGTGTTGTGCGCGGGAGGAGGTATTATTCTAGATAGTTAGGGGAAGCTCACGGCACCGTTCTCCTAGTATGGCTGGGGTTCGAAAAACAAAGATGAACTACTTGCGCTTTCTGACGGACTGCATGTATGTCATGCCTTACAAATGATCACGATATGCTTGTGTTTAACGACATGCAAGGGATATCATCGTTGAATGGGGACCTCACATATCCGTTTCGGCAATGTTTAGATCTTTTTAAGCCGGGGTATAAAATTGATCATATTTTTTGGCAAAAGAATGTAGTGGCAGATCACCTCGCGGATTGGGCTTATTAGTCACAAATGTTATCAAGAATTTTTCCATTCTCAGGCGCTTTCGAGATCAGTTTCAGTAATGCTTCATTGCAACCAGTTGAGGTTATGGGAGCTTCGATAAGAATTTGGGTAAAATTTGCTGTCGGATTTGGGTTATCAATATCTTTCAGCGCAACGGTCTCCTTATAGGAAGCGTTTTTATTTTGCTTTCGCTATTTTCATAGTTTTCCAACATAGTAGGGGGTACTCTTCCGGCCCATAAGGGGTTCAATGAGGCATAACTGTACTTTCAACGAAGTAATGGGATAAAAATCTTTTCTATGGCAAAAATAAAAAAATAAAAATAAAAAACGATATCGATTTTTATTCCTATCGATTTTTATTCACACTTCTTAGGGATGGTGAAAAAGTGTAATACCAGAACCATTACTATTTAATATATTTCAAACTATAACCATACCAAACTCATTTAAAAAGCTACTCGAATTACCAGAATTATTACCACCAATATCCGGATACTTGTGTGTATCCATTTATTATTCTAATTGTATATCCATCCTTTCGCCGTCAGTGTTCTACATAGGTGCCAAGATTTCACGCTTTTATATTTTCGGCAGTGTCTATTTTTAGACAAGGATGAAGTGGTCATAGTTTGTTTGTATCTATCTGGAGTTGTCTGTTTGCGGCATGGTGCCACATTTTTTCCGCCCATTTTTGGTGAAATTGTAACTGACCTAGATTGTTGTGGTGAGGAGGTGAACGGACTCTCTCGATTTTCCAATACTTTTTGTGATCACTCACATTCCTCTTGTCTTATCATTAATTTGGGTTGTCCGTTATTTCCGTGTTATTCTAATTTTGATAAGCTTATATTTTTTGGCATATTGTCTGAATCTTCTTATGTACTCATTGCCTAATTTTTGATCTATAAACAGAGAAGGGGTCCATTCCAAATACCCTGATGTGTCTTTCTTCTCAAAACCAAAAAAAATTAATACTCTAACTTTTAAATACTTTAAAGAAACTTAAAAATAATTATACAAAAAGAAGTAAAGCTTCACAAAAACTAATGTTCGGATGAAACAAAAAGGATGATTAAAATAACAGTAGCCAGTATAAGATTTTGAAAAAATATTATGAAGTATGAAAATGACACATAATTAATTGGAATACTACAAAATCATATGTACTTGAACATTTCATTAAATATAAAAATATATTCTTCCTAGTCATTTAGTATTTCGTTTAAAATTTTACAAAATTATTTTTTTTTTCATATTATGTTAAATTATATATATATATATATATATATATATATATATATATATATATATATATATATATATATATATATATATATATATTAATATTAAATGGTCGGTATCCATAACCTAAAAGGTAAACCATAACAATACTAAAATCGTGACGGTTTGTATATCTTTTATTAAAATTATTACCAAACCCTAATGGTTTCGGTAACAAATTTTAAATGAGGCTGATACTTATGAATAACTAGTGGTTCTATATTTTTTGCCATATTCTTAGGGAGAATGACTATAACAAATCCCAAATTTTTCTCACTTCAATACAAAAAAAATAAAAAATTGAATAATAAATAATTAATGACATAAATACCCTTAATGAAAATAAATACTATACAAATATTAAAAATCTCATTTTTCTTTCTTCAATACAAACACACAAAATCCCTCAAACTCATCTTCTTCTTCACAAATCCCTCAACCTCTTCCTTCTTCTTTCTCACAACAAACTCTTCTAAAACATCTCAAAACTAAAGAAATTAAAAGCTCACAAAACTTATAAAATGGAGTTATAAGACAATAATATGGTAGTATATATGGAAGGAGAACACATTAAGGTAAGTATCGATGTCTTTTTTGAGCTTCGAAGTCGATTTTGAAGTTTTTTTTTTTGAAACCCGCCGGCAATTTTCGACACATACATGTCGATTTTTTGGTCAATTTTCGACACCAACGTGTCGAAAAATATATTTAAAAAAAAAAATTCGACACATACCTGTCGAAATTTCTCCCAATTTCAAAAGGTATATGTCGAAAAAAAAATTCTTTTTTTTTACCAACAATGTTTTTTCGACACATACATGTCGAAATTGCGAGAAATTTCGACAGTTATGTGTCGAAATTTGTTTTTTTTTTATATATATTTTTCGACACGGTGTCGAAAATTGACCAAAAAATCGACCTGTATGTGTCGAAAATTGCCGGCGGGTTTCAAAAAAAAAACTTCAAACGACTTCGAAGCTCAAAAAAAACATGGTTTCATACCCCAATTGGTTCTCCTTCCATAAATACTACCATATTATTGTCTTATAACTCCATTTTATAAGTTTTGTGAGGTTTTGATTTTTTGAATTTGGAGATGTTTTGGAGGATTTAAGAAGATGAAGAAGATAGGGTTTAAGGGATTTGAGCTTGGGGAGAAGAAGAGAGGATTTGTTTTTCTTTTTTTCCTTGGTATTGAAGTGAGGATCAATAAAAAAATTGTTTGTATAAATTGTATTTTGGTTGATGA